TGTGCAGCGTGTTAAGTTGTAGCCACTAAAATTGCTCTATGACGCATTCTGACGGGAATGTCCGTGAACTAATTTAGCGATACAGGAAGTGTGCGAATGATTTGCTGCCGCATTAATCTCTTCTTCTTTTTGAAACGCGTTTGCATTTTACTGTGAGACGTTGCAATTCCTGAGTTACCACAGGAAAAACAACCTCTGCTGGACCTTCTCTTTAATAGCCTATTAGCCTTTATCCCATTTCTACCTACCGTAGTCGGCTCAGAGTGGTTTTTAGTTTTCCATTGGGTGGTAGTACCTGATAACGGGCACTTTTTAGTACCTGGTTAATGACTTTTACCACGACTTAATGTTTCAATCTTAAATATGATCAACCTGTCTGTAATAATCAGCTATGTCCCACAGGCCTTCAAGCTGGTAGTAGGTAAACTTTTACTTCAAAAACGCAACTTCTTGACCCAGCTGTCTTGGCTCATTATAGGCCAGTTGCCAACCTTCCATATATCTCAATTATTCCTAAGCCTGGTTCTGCTGGATGTTTCTTGTTAAAAGGAAAGGGAGTTATTTATATTTATTTATATATCAATTATTCCTGTCTTCTGTCCCTTGTTCACAGCACATGTGTTCTCCTCCCTGAGCCTGGTTCTGCTGGAGGATTCTTTGTGATAAAAGGGAGTTTTTCCTTCCCACTGTCACCACAGTGCTTGCTCATAGGGGATCAAATGATCGTTTATTAACCTGTTCTCAATTGTAATGGAAAAAAGTCTATTCAAATCATACAGTGTTGAGCTGATCCAACTAGGTACTAATGAAAAATGGTTTATATGTGTAAGAACTAGTTCCTCTAAGAAGTTGATCCTAATAATCTGAAGTGATTCACAGTTGTTGAAAGGCTGGAAGGTGGAGTGTTGACAGTTTTTGACAGTCCTTGACTGTACCATTGGAAGCAACTGGTCCACCTACTGTCTTTAGGATAACTCGATTGTTCCCGGTCAGACCAGTGACGGTGGTGTCATCTGCAAACTTCAGGAGTTTCACAGATGCTTCTCCTCAGGTGGAGTCATTAGTGTAGAGAGAGAAGACCAGTGGTAAGAGAACACACCTCTGGTGAAGCCCACTGTTGATGGTCTGTGTGCATGATGTGAATCTTGAATCTTGAGGAAGCTGGTAGTCCTCTGACAGGTGGAGGTGGGCACAGTAAGTTGGGTGAGCTTCTGCTGGAGG